TGTTAGGCTTCAATGTAGCAAAACTACTGCTGAAAATCTCATCATGGAAATTGATGATTGATGCCTTTTGTGTGGTTTTTTTGTTCATTAATTTTGTTGAAATTTCTAATCCAGAATAAAGTCCTGGATTACTTTAACACAAACCACAAAAATCTCATCTGTGTTGAGCCCCTATGAGAATGATCCTTTCTTTCTTCTTCTGCCAATGCTCCCTCATTCAGTGAAATGGTTTGAAAAGCATTGGAAAATACCCATTTATTATTTTGAGCCCAGAATGACATTTAGATGAGATTTGTTTTTGCCTTGCATATCTATTGAGTATTACAACCCAACAAAACCAATTTAACATAAGGTACTTGTAAGCTTTGGCAGCATCTGTATTTAAGAGTTCAGTCTTGGAAAGGTTCCCAGGATTAGAACAACCGAAGAATAAACACATAGGTCATCTGTACACTCCATTCAGATCTAAGCTTCTGAAATGTACCTGGAATCAGAACAGTTGTGCTTCCAACGCTTTTGTAAAAATACTTTGACATCAAGACTACATCGTGTTGTATTAAAGGTATTGAGTCTTTTATGTTGTCATCCTGTCAATTACTATTCTGCATAGTTAATTAATGTTTCCTGGCTTTGTATAAATAAGCAGTACATACATTTCCGCATCTGACCTGTTTTTAGTTTTGAGGTCAGTTTGCAGGTGCTTGCTTACCACTTAACTCGAGCACGAGTAGATATTTCAAAATTAAAAATTAACCACTTCTGGTGAAAATTATGTCACCTCATGTCACTTCAAACATGATACTTCTTAGTTAAGACAGATGTAGAACACAAAAACATGAGAAATGAAACATTTTAGATGTATAAGTACACTGACATTGTTAAGACACATGGTATGGATGCACTGGTCCTTAGTTATGCAAATATGTAACTGAATGAAAGTGTCAATAGAATGAAGCTACTGTTGGGTAGCATGTTTTTGCTGGCACTATTTTAAATGAAATATTTTTTTAAAAATGGAAGTAAAAAATAATTATAACAGTGGAAAGCTGTCCCTCTCCCAAAAGGGGGGGGGGAGAAAAATCTCCCTTTCAAAACAAATTCTGTTATCATAATCAAGCAACTCAAAAAAATCTATTTTCAATAAACACATCCTCCATTTTGAAAAGCACTGTTTTTAGATATAAATATCTAGAAAGGCAGGTAAGAAAAAAGCTAAGTACTGAACCCATTTTTTCATATATGTATGTATATATGCATACGCATACGCATACACACACACACATGTCAGTTTGTTCATTATCTTAAATCTCCCAAAATACTTCACTGATTGCTTTGAAATTTGGATACAATGTAACATTCAAATAGGCACATGTTTTATGTTTTCACATACTTACTCTTATACAGATGTCACACCTGTGACAGGTAAAAATATGCTTTCTTCCAAAAACAGTGCCATCTGCTGGCGTTCTCCAGACAGACAGCCAAAGGAAGTGGCAGCAGTTACTCCCCCACTCCCCATGTTGGGCTCTCTGTAGAGTTGAGATGACAACACAGAAAAGCCAGCGGTGGTGGCTCCCATGACTAGGAGGAACCTGGCCAGAAGCCTCATGGCAGAGCAGCAGCCAAGTAAGGGCTACAGGGAGGCATGAGAGGCAGGCGAGGCAGAATTGAAAGCAGCGGGCAGCAGCACAGACAGGATGGCCACTCTTGGTGCTCCAAGCAGCGCCCCACCCCTCCTGTCAGCCTTAAAGGGACAGAGACCCAAAGAGCCAGGACTTCCTAGATGGAACACCCTCTGCTGGGATTCCAAGCTCTTTGGATTTCGACTCCCTGAATTCAATTGCACTGGTTTCTGGGAAATGAAGTCAAAAAAAAAAAAGAAAGAAAGAAAGAAAAGCAGGAGGCGGCTCAAAGGTTGAATGCAACATACAGAATTTCTTTCTTCCCCCCCCCCCCCCCCCCCGCTTTCTCTCTACCTCTGGGCCCTTCCATATAATCCAGAATATCAAGGCACATAATCCAAAATATCAACTTTGAACTGGATTATCTGAGTCCACACTACCATATAATCCAGTTCAATGCAGATTTTATACAGCTGTGTGGAAGGGGCCCCAGAATATCAAGGCAGAACATCCCACAATATCTGCTTTGACCTGGGTTATATGAGTCCACACTGCCATATATCCCAGTTCAAAGCAGATATTGCAGATTTTCCTGCCTTGATATTCTGTGGTATATGGCTGTGTGGAAGGGCCAGAGTCCACACTGCCATATAACCTCGTTGAAAGAAGATAATGTGGAATCTTATTCAGCTGTGTGGAAGGGTCCTCACAGCGGCTCACAACCAAAAACTGTCAATCATTGTCTCATGTGAGACAATGATTCCTTCCCTTCCCTCCTCAAATGCCACTCCGCCCTCAGGAATGCTGCTGTATGCTTATTTACTTCATTGGGGCTCCTTTGGGCCCTCTGTATCTTTCTTTAGGCCCTGTCTACACAGCTGTATATGATCCACATTTAACCGGGTTATATCACAGTGTTGACTCAGATAATCCAGTACAAAGCAGACATTATGGATTATTATTATTATTTATTTATTTATTTCAGGCACTTCTACCCCACCCTTCTCAACCCCCAAGGGGGGACTCAGGGTGGCTTACAACCCGCACAATTTGATGCCAACAATTCAACAAATAAATTACATATGGATGATCTGCCTTGCTGTTCTGAGTTGTCTTCATTCCTCACATTCCTATGATTCCAATGGATATTTCATTTCAATTTAAGAGACTCCAATTCCCAATTTGATTGGTGTTTGCAATCCTCATCAACAAAGCACAGGGCCAATCTTTAGAATTGTGCAGTTTAGCTCTAGACACAGATTGCTTCTCACATCACTTATATGTTGCATGTTTTAGAATCGGCAAACCAGGCAATCTCTGTATCTGCACAGACAATAGAAAAACAAAAAATACTGTATACCCACAAGCATTGTGAAATTACATATATTAGAAACCATCTCTTTCTCTTTTCTTTCTTTTCCATTTAACCAGACTGAGACACAGCAACGTGTGGCTGGGTACAGCTAGCACACACATACACATATATAACCTGGAGGGAAATATAGTGTGAGGAAGTGCAGCAATGGGACAGACCAGAATAAAAATGGCAGCTGAGGGCTGCACATATGCTATTTTCCAAGTTTATATTGTAAACATATGCCTGATACTTTAAAGTGCATCAGGCGGATACACAGTTGTGATATATGTGTGACTATAATTATCGTACTAAGTTTACACTGAATGGAAAACTAGGTTTGCTTCTATGTAATGTGTGATATGGCACAGAGGTGGCACCATGGCAACACTGATTTATACAAATATTTTCTATCAAAAAGCTGCCCACCAGTATGCACACCAGAAGGGACTAGCAGTTTCTCAAGTCGCTCCTGTCACAATAAAAAGCTGGTTTCAAAGTCCTTCAGTAATCAAATCAATAAAAAAAATCAGTTTTCTAGTTCCAGGTTATTATACCTCAACCCATTATTTCAGTATGTACATTTTATACACATAACAAATGGTGGTTATAGTCTGAGTACCCAGGGATAAAATGCCTGATTTACCATCCAGCCAAACAAGGTATTTTTACAGTCATGGGATTAGGTGCAAAATATATAAAACTGGTTTAATTTAAGTCTGGAGTCAAGTGTTAATCCCAACTATAGTACACCCGTTAAATCAACAGGGACCTGGCAGGTCACCATTTATGTTTTGTTTCAATTGGTCTAGTCTAATTTGGGCCAACACTTGGATTAAAGTCTAATCTCTAAACTTTAGTTGTGTCGCAACACTACCTTACCCTTAGGAATCCAGTTCTATGGCAGAGGTTTATGATTACATGTTTCACTCTGCACTAAAAGAAGAGTTGAAGGATATCTTGCACAAAACTACCGTGTTTTAGATTTACATTTAACATTGGCATCCAAGATAACTGAACCAAAAAACCGATACATTCTATTGTTGAAGGCTTTCATGGCTGGAATAAGTGGGTTGCTGTGAATTTTCTGGGCTGTACAGCCATGTTCCAGAAGCATTTGCTCCTGACATTTCACCCACATCTATAGCAGGCGTCCTCAAAGGTTGTGAGGTCTGTTGAAAACTAGACAAGTGGGGTTTATATATCTGTGAAAAGTCCTGGGTGGAAGAAAGTACTCTTGCTTGATGCAGATCTGAATGTTCCAATTCGCCACCTTGATTAGCATTGAAAGCCTGGCTGTTTCTTGCCTGGAGGGATCCTCTGTTGAGAGGCATTTGCTGACCCAGATTGATTCCTATCAGGAATTCCCCTTCTTCTCGCTAAGATTGTACACTAATGTCTCGACTGCATCACTTCAAATTTTTATCTGAAAATTTGCTTTGTCATACAAAACAAACAAAAGAAAGAATAGTAACACATTCTCTATCTGCACCAAAAACAAAAGTTAGGGTGAAAGATTTTGTTTTAGTCATCTCACTAATATGATATGCTTGCTTGCTATGCACATAGAGGTGTTTTCTGTAGAGAAGAATTAGTCTTGTAAATGCCCTTTGGTGCTCTGAAGTAGTGTAGTTCAGACACAAGATTATCATCACAGCACAACCCTTATCATGTCTAAGAATCTTCTGCTGTCCTTGAGCATATTGCTGCCTTGTAGATCCAAAGAAATGTGGGAGTAGCTTTCACATGTACTCTGGGACCTTTGGAGCTCCACATGTTTTCTGGACTCCACAACAGAAATTTAGGGACTTCAATGGCCACTTTAAAGTTCTTGTGGTCAAAACAGGAAGTCTTAACAAACCCAGTGGGCATGGAGTGTGCATACTCAGTTGCTGGGGTCCTAGTCATTATAATCTAGCTCCACAAGCTGGATTTTAAACAAAATGAACAAAACAAAGTTGCATGTTAGAAAGGTAATAAATAATACCAGTATTGTGCTGTGCTCATGCAGATGATTCCCATACCTTTATAGCAGTGGAAGCAATCTGAATATGATGCAGTCTTCTCAATGTGCTGTCCCTGTCAATGAAGTATGAAGCCGCCAGTTGGTGCAATGTTTCCAGAGTCACCATTGTACTGTTAAGGCTGGGATCACTTGTTTCTGATCTCCTACTCAGCTTCCGCTTGTCCACAAAAATTGTGAGTGACTCCTCTCCTGTGCAAGGAATGAATCAGACAATAGGTAAAAAGCCTACACAATCCCTTTCATTTGATATAACTGAAATGTACCCAGTTAAGCTTTCTCACAGGAGAGAGTGAAAAAGTGGCTGCTTTGTATTCTGAAGGTCTCTGGTTCAATTCATGACATTTCCACCTAAAATGATGCTAGGCAATAGGGATGAAAAAGAAAGCCCACTGAAGATCCAAGAGAGTAACAGCCAGCCAAAACAGCAGCACTGGACTAGAATTAGAAATCATCTAACTCACTATATCAGTCTCAGAGTTTTGTGCTTGCATTTCCATGGTTGCTCAGCCATGTTGTACTCAAAGGACAACCAAGAACAAGCTGATTTGTATACAACAGTACTGATGATAAAATGATGGCCTTGTTAACACAGAAGAATGGAAGAAAGTGTGTGTGTAACCCTGCATATGTGAGAGTGCAGGGATAATACTTGCAAACATAGCTTAAATCTAAATCTACATTTGCAGACAGTTTCTTCTGTCACACTAGGCACATCTGTAGTCCTCAGACATGAAATAGGCTTAGGAGGTAATATAAACAATAGCTAACAAATATACTTGATTTGGAAAACTTTTCAAGGTTATGAGTCTTAAAGGACTGAAAAAAGATTAATCACAATGTATGTCAAAACAGAAGGGGAGGAAAAAAATCACTCAGCATTATAACCTATTAACATACAAGGTCCGTTCTGTGAGCTATATGAAACAATGTTTGCAAAGCAGTGGTGTTTCACTTGTTCCAAGCAAAAAATAAGAGTTTACAAGTGCATTTTCTCTGTTGTTCACAGGAAAAACATGCCCACATAATCCAATAATTGGTTCACAGGATTAGCAGGCTTTCTAGAATGATGTTTTCACTCCAGAAATGTTCTTGTCTCTGTTAGATATTCGCAAATAGGCATATTGAAACATTCACCATAGAATGATATTTGAATAGGATTCGTTATGTATTCGTTTCGTTATCGGTTTGAGGTCGTTTCGTTATTATTTACGCATGTCTGGGGCAAGTTTTATAGTTGTTTTTTGTTTAATTAGTGAAAAAAAATTATAATATCACACCAACAGTCAACAACAGAGGGAGAGGAAAGCTTCAGAAGTTCCCCCTGTCCCATTTGGAGGTTTTTTAGCGTATTGCATGGTTGCGTCCGCCATTAACGAATCGATTCGTTATTGTTTCGTATTTGTTTCGTTAATGTTTCGTAATTTTTAACAGTTATGAAATTTTGTAAATATCGAACTTTTTAAAAGAAAAATTTCGGAATTCTTTTAAATATCGAAACGCAAAAACCCCCAAAAAACGAATTGATTTTAGAAACAAATTTTTCTGTTGTTACCCAGGCCTAGTATTTATGTGTGTGTATATATGTGTGTGTATATATGAGTGTATATGTGTGTGTGTATAGGTGCATGTGTGTGTTGTTTGTATATGTATGCAGGCCTGGGCCTGCTTGGGCCCTCCAGACGTTTTGGATTTCTAAAAGCCAGAACTGCATGGCTGTTAGGAATTGTGGGAGTTGAAGTCCAAAATGCCTGGAGGGCCCAAGTAGGCCCAGGCCTAGAATATGAGATTTGTTACTGAACCCTGTGTCTCTTTCGCAGCCTGTATGGCCTCCTCCTGGCATGGTTCTTCCTCCTTCCTTACTCACTCCCTTCCTTTTCCCTCTTGCCTTCCTTGCTTGACAGCTGCAAAAGGCCTCCCCTTCCTTCCTTCCTTGCTTGCTTCTTTGCTTCTTTTGTCCCTCCGTCTTTCCCTCTCTCTCTATTTTCTCCCTTAAGGTTTATTCATTTCCTTTCTTTGAAGTAGCTGCAAGTGAGGTGAGTGGTGGAGGAAGGAGCCAGGGACAACCTCTCTCTCCCCCCCCCCTCTTTCTCTCTCTATGATTTGGGGTGGAGGCTCTAATTAATGCTTTTCAGAGCAGCTTTCTCCTCCTGACCTTGGCTAGCTTCTCGGCTGGCTGTTTGTGGGGCTGCTGGCTTGGCTCCTGAAGCAGGGATGGCCAGCTGCTTTGCTACAGATGGCCGTTTGTTTCCCCCTCGCGCAGGAGGGTCAGGGCCAGGTTTTGCGCATGCGTTGTAACATATTTAATTTTTTTTTTAGGATTTCAAAGCTATTTTCTCTGTTTTGGATTTTTTTTTAATTATTGGTCATACCTTGGGATATGAGGCATTTGAAGGCCAAATTTGGTGTAATTTTGCCCCGTAGTTTGTTTGTTGTTAGCATACTCATAATGTACTGAAACTTTTTATATAGATAGATCATCAAAATGCAAGTATACATATATGGACACACACCCACATAGATAATAGAGGAACTGTAATTCGTTAGGTTGCATATTAAGAATCTGGACTAGTTGTGAAATTACAGAAAATGGCATCCAGTATGAGGATGAACCCAGCCTTTAAGGAAGCTGCTCAAGATGATGAAGCTATTTTGGAAATGTTTAGTAGTTCAGAAATTTAAGGTTAGACTAAGTTCCAGAGCAAGTTCTCAATCCCATTAATATAAAAACCACCAGCCACTGTTGGTGGCAGTAATAAAATATATATTATGATTTGATCTTGTTGCTCATCCTATTTCACATTGTTTGGTGCTATATTAAATCAACACGTGAAAGGCAGAGAAACACATGAAACTATGTGCAAAAAAATAAATGGAATGAAATCTAAATGGGGGCTTCGTGTTTGCAGCAGCATCAGTGTGGTGGTTTTCCAATGTTTTGGTTTATCCCATATTACTCTTTTTTCACAAATTATGATTATGATTATCGTTAGCTGGAATCCTATACAGGGGATATGTATGTGTAAACATCATAGTTACTGCACTACCCAGTGAATCCCAGGCCACCCCCATTTACCAAAAAGCTGCCTCCACAATTAGTGGGGAGCTGTTTTCTTGTAACCTGGGAAGCAGCAGATGGCTGTTTCCATTCCCTCCCATGAGAAATCTCTAGTATGGCAGGATCCTTTTCTTAAATCCCTCATTCAGATGAGAAGAGTGGGAACATTAGTCAGCTGCTTCCCAAGATACAAGGGAACAGAATCCTATTGATCACAGTGGCTGTTGGCCAGTAATTAGGGATTGTGGGACTGTTGTGGTCCCTATATAACTTCCAAAATATGAGTGCATTTATAACTACTATAGAGGATTCCAGACATTATTATTATTATTATTATTATTATTATTATTATTATTATTATTATTTCGAAGAACTAATGTTTTCAATTAAGCTTTCATTGAGGTAAGGTCTCCTTCCAGCTTTCTTTCAAAGGTGCTTATAAAAGTAGGCAGTTATTATTTTTAAACTGCAACAACAAGCACAAAATGTATAGAATCTCATTTTGGCAACTCGAACAAGGAGGAAGGTGCAGAATATTCAGGAAATGATAGGCTTCAACAAATGATTAAATCCACATGGGTCTCAAGAGCAACATGAGAAATTATTTAATAGAAATGCTAACATTTTGTATTAGAGACATTAAAATAACACTCTAACAGCTTTAGCTTAATATGCATAAATATGATTTAAGAATATGTATTTTTAAAATGTGTAATAATAGATATGATTAAAACACTTAGAGCTGTTTTCAGTCTTCCTGTAGGCTGATTTTAAAATTATGGCTTCCAATTTTCTTCTCTTATTAGTAATGAAAGGAATACAAATTGCCTTGAGATGACATATTTTAAGAAAGTAATTAGGTGGAATCTACTGGTCACAAAGATAAACCCATGTATGTGCAATAATAGAATATTTCTCCTTCCACATCTTGTGCCGGTATGATCCCAGTGCAATGAGCAGGATATTATGCCACTGACTGGCCAGCTCTTGAGCACTATACATTAGGGGTAGGATTATGTAGTCTATGAAGTGCATGTAACCACAAGCCTGTATTTGCAGTCACCATTGCCTCCCCAATTTTTACAGATAAAAAAAAAACATGCCTCCATTTGCAAATCACAGCTGGTACCATTCTTGCCTAATACAAAGTAGAAGACCATTATATTGTAGACACATTTTCCTTTAGTGATTTTATATATAGTATTTTAATGGTGTATTTCAAATTGCATTTAATATTCTGGCTTTTATGTATTTATTTATTTGTCATGTATGTGAAAGACCTATGGTCTAAGCATTAAATAAACTACTACTATTACCAAGATTTCATAGGACCCATTCCAGGTCTGAGATTGATGGAAAATGGTCTATGAGTGCTCCCCAGTTGCTTAGTATTTTATCCCTTAGCTCCATCAGCATTCAGCTTCACATGGGGCCCATCCAGACAGGCCCAAAAACCCATCCAGACAGGCCCAGAACTTATCTCGGTTTACCAAATGACGCCTTTGGTAAAAACAAATTAATTCAGGACAAACCAATGTTTCCTTGGTTTGTTCTGAATTAATTAGATACTCCATTAGACCCAGGCCTTCCTGAAATACCCAGGTCAAATGGAGTATTGGGCCTTTGGAGACTCACTTCCAGACAGTACTGGGACTACCCAGAGGTTAGTCTCCATTGCAGTCCCACACCTTTTGGGTACCTCTCTCCCAGGCCCCCAATTTAGTTCCTAAAAGTAAATTAAAAGGTACCTGGACACCATAACATCCCTCCTCGCATCCTCCTGCTGCAAAAAATTATGCACAAGGAAACGGCAAGGTACAAGGAGGGATTTTCCTTCTTGGCCCTCCTGTCCCTTTAGGTGTCATTTCCTCACTCCAGGAGGACATGAGGAGGGCTGTTATGGTGTCTAGGTATCTTTTATTTCACTTTTAGGTGAAAATTGGGGGCTTCAGGGAAGCTTCGTGCCATCTTGATTTTAATCACGATGGCATCTAGAACCCTCCCCCCCCTTTCCGCTCCCAGGGAAGCCTGGTTTTTTTGTTGGGGAGTGGGGACTGAAACCTGCACTGAGGCGGTTATATAAATCTGCTTTGCTGTGGATTTTAATCGTTTTGGAAGTACCCATGGTTTTAAT